TGCAGTGCTTTCTGTGATCGTCCCTCTCCTGTAGTGTGTTCTATAGGTTTTAGTGCATGTCAATGGTCTGCAGAGACTAAAATCTACATACTGATATACACCTGAACATCAGCAGGAGAGGACTCTTTAAAGTAGAGACACTACATACTGATATACACCTGAACATCAGCAGGAGAGGACTCTTTAAAGTAGAGACACTACATACTGATATACACCTGAACATCAGCAAGAGAGGACTCTTTAAAGTAGAGACACTACATACTGATATACACCTGAACATCAGCAGGAGAGGACTCTTTAAAGTAGAGACACTACATACTGATATACACCTGAACATCAGGAGGAGAGGACTCTTTAAAGTAGAGACACTATATACTGATATACACCTGAACATCAGCAGGAGAGGACTCTTTAAAGTAGAGACACTACATACTGATATACACCTGAACATCAGCAGGAGAGGACTCTTTAAAGTAGAGACACTACATACTGATATACACCTGAACATCAGCAAGAGAGGACTCTTTAAAGTAGAGACACTACATACTGATATACACCTGAACATCAGCAGGAGAGGACTCTTTAAAGTAGAGACACTACATACTGATATACACCTGAACATCAGGAGGAGAGGACTCTTTAAAGTAGAGACACTACATACTGATATACACCTGAGCATCAGCAGGAGAGGACTCTTTAAAGTAGAGACACTACATACTGATATACACCTGAACATCAGCAGGAGAGGACTCTTTAAAGTAGAGACACTACATACTGATATACACCTGAACATCAGCAGGAGAGGACTCTTTAAAGTAGAGACACTACATACTGATATACACCTGAACATCAGCAGGAGAGGACTCTTTAAAGTAGAGACACTACATACTGATATTCACCTGAACATCAGCAGGAGAGGACTCTTTAAAGTAGAGACACTACATACTGATATTCACCTGAACATCTTATGATTGTACTTATATTAGTGATTAAACTAATGGAAGTGAACAAGATAAGAATGAAGGGGTCTTTATGTCACCGTTTCATCAGATGATAAATAAAAGACGACTCACTTGAGAGCGTCCTCTCTCATGGTGTCAACATTTAGCGTCTTTCGTCTCTCGCCCAGAGTCTTCTTCTTGATCTCTAGACCCGTCAGACGCTTCCCCTTCCTCGTCTCCGCCTGGGTCAGAACACACAGTCAGTATAATCATCTCTTCATCTTCATCATCATTATTATATTATGATATAATACTGAGAACAGCAACAGACCTTTGCCAGGAAGCCTCCAAAGTTTCCCATGCCAGAGAGCACTTTCTTCTTCTTGAGATCATCAACTGCCTTCTTCTTGGCTTCGTCGTCCTCTTTTCTGTGACGTTCCTCCTGATGAAGACCCAGAGAAGTGATGAAGAAAAGCATACGCTAAGCTAAAGGTGGCTAATGTTGGGCTATAAAGGAACTACAGCACGGTCACATGACTTCACGTCACCACCGCTAAGCTAAAGGTGGCTAATGTTGGGCTATAAAGGAACTACAGCACGGTCACATGACTTCACGTCACCACCGCTAAGCTAAAGGCGGCTAATGTTGGGCTATAAAGGAACTACAGCATGGTCACATGACTTCACGTCACCACCGCTAAGCTAAAGGAGGCTAATGTTGGGCTATAAAGGAACTACAGCATGGTCACATGACTTCACGTCACCACCGCTAAGCTAAAGGTGGCTAATGTTGGGCTATAAAGGAACTACAGCACGGTCACATGACTTCACGTCTCCACCGCTAAGCTAAAGGTGGCTAATGTTGGGCTATAAAGGAACTACAGCACGGTCACATGACTTCACGTCACCACCGCTAAGCTAAAGTTGGCTAATGTTGGGCTATAAAGAAATTACAGCACGGTCACATGACTTCACGTCACCACCGCTAAGCTAAAGGAGGCTAATGTTGGGCTATAGAGGAACCAAAACACATTCAGAAAACCATTGACCTCCAGACCAGGGGAAGTAATTACCGCAGATCTTTTTTGAGTAGCTTTCTCTATGATTTATATTTTAAACAGTGGTTTTACATACCTTTAGAAGCTAGCACAACACTTTGAGCTTTACTCCAGCCCAGTGAAGTTACATAAGTGTGTGTGATACATGTGTGTATTTGTGAGTGAATATGAGTGTGTGTTTTACCGCGATCCTGTTCTGTCGGTCCTTCTCCCTCTCCGTTCGGACCCTATGGATCTCAGCTCTCTCCGACCGACGATTCTCCTGATGGGAAGCAAAGCAAAGAAGTTTAAGGTCTGTTTCCTCTCTTAATATGTGTCCTTGCAACCCAGTCTCACGGCACTTCGTGTTATAGTCACGAAATTTAAAAAAATTCGTGTCACACAGAACGATTTTAAAAGCAATGTATTTCTATTGGTAGTATGTTTCGTGCCTGCAACACGTCTTTTTGTCCGGTCGGGTCTTGGAAGACCAGAAGCTGTGTGGTTCATAAAAACATGTTCTTACTCAATATCTTACCCTAAGCCTAAACCTATCCCTTTTATTTTAAATTGTATAATGTCTGAGTTTTTTTGCCGTCAGTGAGGAAAAGAAATGGCTCAGAGCCTCAGAATACTGACATCTGTATTTTATGTCAATTTTTTTTCCTTCTAATTTGTTATTATTTGGTGCAGGCACGAAACATACTACCAATAGAAATACATTGCTTCTAAAATCGTTCTGTGTCAGAATACTTAAATTTGTATTTTTTTAAATCTCTTTTTCCTTCTAATTTGTTATTATTTACATTGCTTTTATTTATTTTGTTATCGTTCTGTATGACACGGAAAAAAAATGCGAAATCGTGAACACGAATAATAATATAATTTCGTGACTATAACACGAAATGCCGTGAGACTGGGTTGGTCCTTGTTGAAGGTGTGAAAGGTGAGCTTACAATTCGGTCCTTCAGGCTGATCAGTTCCTCCTCGTCTTTCTTCCTCTGGTCAAAGTGGACGTCGATCAGAGTGTGAAGCTCCAGTAAATCTTTCTCCATACGCTTTCTGTGGATGTCCTGCAAAGAGAGAGAGATTCTGTTTCTATATTGGCATCTCGTATGACAAAACTGAATATCATTATTTTACCACAGATACGTTGTTTTGGATTCAGTATTTATAGTTTTATGGTATCTGGATCAAATCTGTTTTTTAAAGGCACGACTTACATCAAAATCCACGCGGTCGCCCTCGGGGATCTTTGGAGGGGCGAGCTGGGGAACCAAAGGTCTGAAGAAGAGCAGGACGAACAAGGTTTACAAGTGAAGACAGAAGTAAATCATCAAATCAATGGGACTTTTTTTTTTAAAGGAGAAAATTGAGGAAGAGAATGAGGGACACGTGTGAATTTTCTTTTGAGATCTGACCAAAGGGAATATTTTTTGTTCAGAGAAAAGAAAAAAAAAGAAAATCTCAGAAATGTTACTTTTTTCTCAGATTTCTGACTTTTTTCTTAAATTTGATTTTTTTTCTAAAATGTCTGACTTTTGTAAGAATTCTGACTTTTTTCTAATTTGTGACTTTTTCTCAGAATTCTGACTAAACACTAAAAATGTTTCTCAGATTGAACATATTTTTCGCAAATGTCTGACTTTTTTTCAGAATTCTGATTTATTTTAAGATTTGACTTTTTTCACAAATTTATTTTTTCTATCCTATTTTCTCTGAATTCTGACGATTCACACATTTTAATGTTTTTCTCAAATTTCAGTTTTTTCTCACATTTTTGATCTGAGGAAAAAGTCAGAATTCTGAGAAAAAAGTAGTTTTTTTCGGATCTGCGAAGTCTGACTTTAATCTCAGAACTCAAAAGAAAGAAATCACTTTTGGTCATGTAGAAAATAACCAAAATGCAACCAAAGAATACATAATGTAAACATACTTTGGTTTTGGGCGCTCTTCCTCTGTTGATAAAAGAGAGAAAAAGACAAAAATAACGATTAATGACGATCTAAAAGTTGGTAATAAAGTTATTAGTGTTACTAAAGGAACAGCAAGCAAAGGACTACAAAATAAAAGGCAATTAAGCCGTTATCTTTCAATTCAGGGTTTCACTTAACTTCTATTCATGATCATTTTAACCATCAATTTGGGAAACCACACGTCTAATATTTCTCACCTTCCTCCTGGACTTCTTGATCTGACGGACCAACAACATGAAGACAGAATGAATAATGGATAATTACATATAAACAAATGGAGCAGGAAATTAGTCATTTATGATGAAAAGTATAAAGCAAGGGAATGGGGAAAGTAGGACGGACGAGAGGGAGCAAGAGAGTAAAAGAGTAGGATGAGGAAGGTCATATCGGAAGATGCTCTTAGAGTGAAGAGGAGATTGAAATGCAGAAGTGAGAAATGATAAAGGTCCAGAACCAGGAGAGGAAGGAGGAAATCCACATCCCGGGGATCAAGAGGTAAGACAAGCATATTCCCCAAATATTTAACTATTACTTTAAAACTATGATTTCCCATCATGCATTGAGAGACACACAATCTACAGGCACTATAAACCCCCATAGAGAGGTGCAGGAATGAGTCCTAAAACCCTGGCATGACTCAGCATTTTAGCACTTGGTCCCCTGGTCTGGAGGTCAATGGTTTTCTGAATGTGTTTTTGGTTCCTTTATAGCCCAACATTAGCCACCTTTAGCTTAGCGGTGGAGACGTGAAGTCATGTGACCGTGTTGTAGTTCCTTTATAGCCCAACATTAGCCACCTTTAGCTTAGCGGTGGTGACGTGAAGTCATGTGACCATGCTGTAGTTCCTTTATAGCCCAACATTAGCCACCTTTAGCTTAGCGGTGGTGACGTGAAGTCATGTGACCGTGCTGTAGTTCCTTTATAGTCCAACATTAGCCACCTTTAGCTTAGCGGTGGTGACGTGAAGTCATGTGACCATGCTGTAGTTCCTTTATAGCCCAGCATTAGCCACCTTTAGCTTAGCGGTGGTGACGTGAAGTCATGTGACCGTGCTGTAGTTCCTTTATAGTCCAACATTAGCCACCTTTAGCTTGGCGGTGGTGACGTGAAGTCATGTGACCATGCTGTAGTTCCTTTATAGCCCAACATTAGCCACCTTTAGCTTAGCGGTGGTGACGTGAAGTCATGTGACATGCGCTGTAGTTCCTTTATAGCCCAACATTAGCCACCTCTAGCTTAGCATTATAGCTTCTTCAGAAATCATAAAGTGGTGTTAATGTGTGGAGATTATCCTGCTGAACTAAACGTGTAAGTATCATAAACATTGAGATTATTTTCTGCAATAATCCAAAATCACATGGAGGAATCCCATTGGTCCAGGAGATGCTGCCTTCAGGGACCAACACAGAAATACATTCCTGCACCACTTTATTGGATTTAAGTTATTTGTATTAATGGTTTGTAAAAGTTTGAGTTATGACGGACATGCTCTACGTACCGTGGTGTTCTTGGTGCTCATGTTGCTCTGGAGGTTTTGGGAAGCAGAATAGAGTGGAAGTAAAGGGTCAGAGTTAGTGATGCCCATAATTTACACAGATATATCAAACAAGGAAACATATTTTCTTATCATTAATACCCTTGTTATCCGTCATAATGTGTGTACATCCATAGAACATCCATAGACATTCAACTGCTCTGCCACTTTTAGTATGTTATTAAGTACACCTGATACTACAATAATCCATTGAGAAACATTTTGTTGCAATTTCTTTGGGGTCAAACCATATTTGCAGCTGATTACAAACCACTTTGGTTAATCAGGATGGATGCAGGTAAGCTGCTTTGCATTCTGGGTATTTCCCTGACCTACCTTCATCCTCCTCTACCTCCACCTGCTGCTCTTCATCCTCCTCTACCTCCACCCGCTGCTCTTCATCCTCCTCTTCCTCTTCCTCAGGCTCCACCTCCTCTTCAGCCTCTGGAGAAAAGAGACCCAGAGAAATTCATTTACAATCAGATAAGTTGTTTCTAGGAAACCTAAAGTGTTAAATGTGGACAAACTGAACTCACCCTGCTCCCTGGAGAGAAGAGAAGAAATAGAGACAAACATATTCATTAGTTAACTTCACCGTTAATGCAAACGCTGAAATTATAAATACTGAAGGATGTTTCTGTACTCACTCGTACTCTTCTTCGACGTCTGACATGACTGCAAAGAACAGAGGCAGAGGACAAACAAATCAGGATCGTGAGAGAATCAGCAGAAGTTCAATTAACTCATCAGGAGAGAACTGACACGATTATACACAATTGAGAAAAAAGTTAGAATTCTGGGCAAAAAGTCAAATCCATGATAAAAGTCTGAAATTTAAGAAAAATAACATTTGAGTAAAAAAGTCAGATTTTTTTGAAAAAAGTCAGATTTTTTTGAAAAAGTCAGATTTTTAAGGAAAAAGTCCAAATTAAATTTGAGAAAACAAGTCAGAAATAAAAAGTCAAACCTGAGAAAAAAGTCCGAAATGTAGGGGAAATGTCAGATTTTTTTGAGAAAAAAGTCTGACATTTTGGAAAAAAGTCAGACTTCTGGGGAAAAAGTCAGAATTCTGAGAAATACTTAGAAATTAATACAAAAAATCAAAAATCAAGAAAATCTAATGAGGAAAAAGTCAGGATTGTGAGAATCTGAATTCTTAGAAAAACGTCCAATTTAAGAAAAAAGTCAAAATTAAATTTGAGAAAACAAGTCAGAATTATAAAAAATAAACGTCAAAATTCTGTGAAAAAAATCAAACCTGAGAAAAAAGTCCGAAATTTGTAAAGAAAGTCAGAATCCTTAGAAAGTGCAGTTACTTGAGGAAAATCTACTTAGAAACATTGCCCCACCGACTACAACACAATAGGTCTTTGGCAGCAACATTAACTAGGATAACAAATATACTGGTTACATGGATCAAAGATACTTAAACACATATAATACTTTAATACTGAGAAACCCATGTGCTGTAAATGCAGCAGTGAATCATCACAAAGGTGGCTGTGATTAATCTCTTTGGAAACAGAGAAACACACACACAGACACAATGCATACTGACATGCTATTGGCTATAAATGGTCCCTGTGAGCTGCTATTGTGTGAAACCACGCTGACACCTTCCTGGAGAGGAACTGGAGATTGATGGAGCGTCAACAGGTGAGAATGTGAAGAGGGTTAAACGTAGAAAGATCGGGGTTAAAAAAGTCAGATTTTTTTGAAAAAAATGTGCACATTCAGGATCGTGAGAAAAATCGGAAGTCTTAGAAACACGTGTCCCTCCTGTTGTATTCGGGTCAAATCTGACCGATTTACTACTTTCATCAATCATAACTTTTTTGTTTTACATTCGATTGCATTAAGGCTTCATGATATCCTTCACAGTAGATATTTGAACATATACAATTGCTGATCACCACTTTCATTGAACTTTGGATGATTTAGTCAACTTTGTAACACCCATGGTGTTCCCGGTTAAACATGACCGCGATAAAGAAAAGGAATTAGTAACCATCCGGATCAGATGAAACACACCCCCCCCCCCACACACACACACACACACACACACCACACACACACACACACACACACAGAACAATTTGACACATGTCCCGCTCTTATGTGCCCATCCCCCCACATGGATCACACCTGGCACACGCAATACATGTTCAGTGTCTATTCTTTGTATATTTACTGCAGTTGTTCATGTATACCAGTAGTCTGATACAGTTTGCAAGGGTGTTAAATGAAATGTGGTGATGATTAATGGTTTTTGTGTTAATGTAATAGCAGTTAAAACAGGACCGGTCAAATTTGACCGCAAACACCAAAGTAAGGGGGGGGGGAAACGAAGACAATAGGATTAGGGTTAAGGAAAAACAAAACGTCTGAATTCTGGGAAAAAAACTCAAACCTGAGAAAAAAAGGCAGACATTTTGGGGAAAAGTCAGAATTCTTAGAAGTACAGCTACATGACTAAATCTAGAAACATTGCCCCGCTCACTACAACATTATAAGTGTTTGGCAGCAATATTAACTAGGATAAAAAGACACTGGTTACATGGAGGAATACTTAAGAACACATCAGGTGTTTAAATGCAGCAGTGAGTCATCTCTGTGAAATCAAAGCTGTGATTAATCTCTTTGGAAACAGGGACACACACAGACACAATGCATACTGACATGCTATTGGCTATAAATGGTCCCTGTGAGCTGCTATTGGCTGAAACCACGCTGACACCTTCCTGGAGGGGAACTGGAGATTGATGGAGCGTCAACAGGTGAGAATGTGAAGAGGGTTAAACGTAGAAAGATCGAGTTTCCTCCCTCTCTCCATCCCTCTCCTCTTGTCCTATTGTCTGGTGTTGAAAGAGTGACTTTCCAAAAACAAATAACCCGCAGATCTTCTTACTACCAGAGGTGGGAAGTATTGGAGTACAAAAACTTTGTTACTGTACTTAAGTACATTTTTCTGGTATCAGTACTTTACTCTACTACTTATTTTTCTGACGACTTTTTACTTTGACTTCTTTCATTTTGAACACAAATACCTGTACTTTCTACTTCTTACATTTTGAACACAAACACCTGTACTTTCTACTTCTTACATGTTGAACACAAATACCTGTACTTTCTACTTCTTACATGTTGAACACAAATACCTGTACTTTCTACTTCTTACATGTTGAACACAAATACCTGTACTTTCTACTTCTCACATGTTGAACACAAATACCTGTACTTTCTACTTCTTACATGTTGAACTCAAATACCTGTACTTTCTACTTCTTACATGTTGAACACAAATACCTGTACTTTCTACTTCTCACATGTTGAACACAAATACCTGTACTTTCTACTTCTTACATGTTGAACACAAATACCTGTACTTTCTACTTCTTACATGTTGAACACTAATACCTGTACTTTCTACTTCTTACATGTTGAACCCAAATACCTGTACTTTCTACTTCTTACATGTTGAACACAAATACCTGTACTTTTCTACTTCTCACATGTTGAACACAAATACCTGTACTTTCTACTTCTCACATGTTGAACACAAATACCTGTACTTTCTACTTCTTACATGTTGAACACAAATACCTGTACTTTCTACTTCTTACATGTTGAACCCAAATACCTGTACTTTCTACTTCTCACATGTTGAACACAAATACCTGTACTTTCTACTTCTTACATGTTGAACACAAATACCTGTACTTTCTACTTCTTACATGTTGAACACTAATACCTGTACTTTCTACTTCTTACATGTTGAACACAAATACCTGTACTTTCTACTTCTTACATGTTGAACACAAATACCTGTACTTTCTACTTCTTACATGTTGAACCCAAATACCTGTACTTTCTACTTCTTACATGTTGAACACAAATACCTGTACTTTCTACTTCACCAGCGAGTTAGCAACAAGCTAGTGAACATAGCGAAGCATTTAGTAGCTTTAACGCCACATATTCTCATACTGAAACTTAACATTGCTCTTGTCAATGTTAACAACGTATTTCTGTGGCCACCGAGCTATTGCACGTGTAAAATATTGTGTTAATTTGTGAATTAGAGCTGGTAGCTGGATTTAGTGGAGATAACTATGATAGCTGTTTCTAGTTGTTGCTAAGCTAACCCAAACCCCATATTCACTTATTTGTACGTCTCGTCACAGAACAGACGCTTTTATTTGAATGATTATGTCTTAAAAGTCATGTCAGAGTAATTTTGTGAATGGATGTGAAAGATCTGGTTCATTTTATACACAATAAGTCAAACTTTTTAGCTTTTAACTTTAGCCTATGATGCAGAAATGAGCAGCAAATGAAAGCTAACTGAAGCTAATGAAAATTAGTGGACTATTTTTAGAGATTAAAGAGTAGAAATAAACTATACTAGAAGTTAAACATCTCAAAATATAATTAAAGCGTCATTAAAAAGCAGGAAATATACAGTAGGCCGTGAAGATACAAAATCTAGACTTTGATTTATCTATATCTTTTTTTTTATACAAAAAGCAGAGCAATATTGACATCCCTTGGAGTTTAGTGCTTTGCTCAAAGGCTGTGTCACTGTGTGTTGAACGCAGAGGGATGGCTTCACTCAGGAACGATGTGAAGGTGAGACCTATGAATAAATCCATGATGGATGAAGAGAGGGATGAATAACGGGAGATGAATGAGAGATGACCGTGTCCAAACCGCCAAACAGGTTCAAATACCAACTGGAACGACTTAGCAGAGGTTATTTTGGTCAAGGGCAGTGTGTGTGTGTGTGTGTGTGTGTGTGTGTGTGTGTGTGTGTGTGTGTGTGTGTGTGTGTGTGTGTGTGTGTGTGTGTGTGTGTGTGGTCAAAAGAAGAATGGGTGTGTAACAAAACCTCGATAGCTAAAGGCCATTGTAGTGTTAAGGGTATTTATAGCTTGAGAGTTAGCGGTTTAAGCTAACGGTGAAATAGCCCCTTTGTTTCTTGACATAGAAACTGATTTATACGTGACATGGTATTTTATTTTTACACGTGGCAGGATAAATATGATATGATTCATCATTTTTAATAACTCTAAATGAAAAGCATTAACCTATAGATGGACATTGCAGATGTAAATAAAGTTAGCTAGCTGTTAGCATCTGAGGTTTGCAGGGACAATAGAGGCAAAAAAAACGATGTAATAGATGGTAGGTTACACACACACACACACACACACACACACACACACACACACACACACACACACACACACACACACACACACACACACACACACACACACACACACACGCACGCACACACACAACAAAGTTATACCGTTTCTTTCTTCAGTATTTAATATAAATATACCACTATTTGATTATGTCAAGGTAGCAATTAAGGCAGTATGAAATTAGCTTCAGTAATTAATTGTTGTTATTAATCGTTAATGTGTATAAAGATGGGTTTTAGTTATACGTTCTTCTACCGTGGTGCATTCAAGGATGCTCAGACATAATACTGTATAACCCAGAATCAGCAACAAACTATTCAATGAGAAATAAAACCTCTGCACACATTTGGGATTTTACGAATCCTCGAATCACTGGATAAATGTTGATGTCTTTTGTTGATTGGAAAACGTTTTTTAAAGTGATGACAATACTAGAAAACAAGGGTTCACTTCTGTATGATATGATGACAGCTGCTTGAAAAAATCCATCAGTGGAGAGTAACTAAGTACAGGTACTTAAGTACAATTTTAATATATAATTTGTGTTTTTTTTAATCTACTAAATTACTACTTCTTGCACCTCTGGAAAAAAATCTTACATTAATCTGTTTGTTTTTTTACAATGACAACAAGACCTAGAGAAGATGATTTTAAAGGACAAACAGACCATCAGACACACACAGAGACAGAAAGATACACACACACACACACACACACACACACACACACACACACACACACACACTTACCTGTATATGAAGGTGTTCTGTTCACCACAGACACAAGAGAGACAGACAGAATGGATAATGTACTGACAGAGGAAGTTTTATACAGAGAGGAGGGAGGGGGGCACTGTGTGTGTGTGTATGTGGGGGGGGTTGGTGTGTGTGTGTGTGTTGTCTAAAGGAATATGTGTGCGTGCATGCTGTGAGAATTGAGTATACAATACAAGAATAACTGTGAGTCTGTGTGTGTGCAATTGTATAGCTTGGGGTGTGTGTGTGTGTGTGTGTGTGTGTGTGTGTGTGTGTGTGTGTGTGTGTGTGTGTGTGTGTGTGTGTGTGTGTGTATGTGTGTGTGTGGGATTAAGCGGAGGCAGAAAGATGAACCTCGCAGGATTAGAGGTAACAGAGGGATGACCTCATGGACAAATGGAGGAGAGACAGGGTGAGGGGGGGATGAGTTTGTTAAAACACAAAAGTGATTATATGGAAAGGAACTACAGCACGGTCACATGACTTCACGTCACCACCGCTTAGCTAACGGTGGCTAATGTTGGGCTATAAAGGAACTACAGCACGGTCACATGACTTCACGTCACCACCGCTAAGCTAAAGGTGGCTAATGTTGGGCTATAAAGGAACTACAGCACGGTCACATGACTTCACGTCACCACCGCTAAGCTAAAGGAGGCTAATGTTGGGCTATAAAGGAACTACAGCACGGTCACATGACTTCACGTCACCACCGCTAAGCTAAAGGTGGCTAATGTTGGGCTATAAAGGAACTACAGCACGGTCACATGACTTCACGTCACCACCGCTAAGCTAAAGGTGGCTAATGTTGGGCTATAAAGGAACTACAGCACGGTCACATGACTTCACGTCACCACCGCTAAGCTAAAGGTGGCTAATGTTGGGCTATAAAGGAACTACAGCACGGTCACATTACTTCACGTCACCACCGCTAAGCTAAAGGAGGCTAATGTTGGGCTATAAAATAACTACAGCACGGTCACATGACTTCACGTCACCACCGCTAAGCTAAAGGTGGCTAACGTTGGGCTATAAAGGAACTACAGCACGGTCACATGACTTCACGTCACCACCGCTAAGCTAAAGGTGGCTAACGTTGGGCTATAAAATAACTACAGCACGGTCACATGACTTCACGTCACCACCGCTAAGCTAAAGGAGGCTAATGTTGGGCTATAAAGGAACTACAGCACGGTCACATGACTTCACATCACCACCGCTAAGCTAAAGGCTAATGTTGGGCTATAAAGGAACTACAGCACGGTCACATTACTTCACGTCACCACCGCTAAGCTAAAGGTGGCTAATGTTGGGCTATAAAGGAACTACAGCACGGTCACATGACTTCACGTCACCACCGCTAAGCTAAAGGTGGCTAATGTTGGGCTATAAAGGAACTACAGCACGGTCACATGACTTCACGTCACCACCGCTAAGCTAAAGGAGGCTAATGTTGGGCTATAAAATAACTACAGCACGGTCACATGACTTCACGTCACCACCGCTAAGCTAAAGGTGGCTAACGTTGGGCTATAAAGGAACTACAGCACGGTCACATGACTTTACGTCACCACCGCTAAGCTAAAGGTGGCTAACGTTGGGCTATAAAGGAACTACAGCACGGTCACATGACTTCACGTCACCACCGCTAAGCTAAAGGTGGCTAATGTTGGGCTATAAAATAACTACAGCACGGTCACATGACTTCACATCACCACCGCTAAGCTAACAGTGGCTAATATTGGGCTTGATAACGTTTAATCGTCTCATTTAGACACTTGTTAGCAGCCTCAGTTTCTAAATCCACCAGTGGGGTATTTACTGGCGTATTTTATGACGTAGAACAAAACGTTAAAATCTCTTCAGCTTGTGTTAACCACAAACCTTATTTCAGACCAAAAACAGCTTCAGAAGACCATTGACCTCCAGACCAGGGGACAAGAAGTGATGAAATCCTCACTGTGTAGCAGAGGTGCTCAGCAATAAGAGAAAGAGGGTGACTGCTTCCACAAATAGAGACTGTCTGTGTTTCCATGAATGGTTTCAGTTCACAGAAAGCTCACAGTGACCTCATGGTGAAGAGGTCGCTGTGAGCTTTACTAAAGTCAGAGGTGGAGGAAGTATTCAGATGATTTACACAAGTAGAAGTACTAATTGAGAGGCGAAGTCCCTCCCCTTCCGGTGGACCTCCATGGGACCTTATTTCGGAAAAAGTATGTATTGAAGTCAATGGAGAGAGAAAGATTATCTTTTGATCCCGTTTGAATTGTGCCACGAATTACACATATGATGTTTGTCAATTTAAAAGATAAAAATGTGAAGTAACACTTTTTTTTGTGTGAAACCGCTCAATGAACTACATCTCCCGTCTCGCACCACACACCAAGACGGCCGTCACGTTGGCACATTTCACTTCTTTCTTTCAGAATGAGGCGGAAAGTATTAAAAGAGGTGAAAATCACTCCAAGTCTGGGCATGTTGAGAGCTGTACATACACACAAGGGGAGGTAGTCGGTTCATAAGAGCCAGCATGCGGGACCGGGACTCTGGGATTTGTAGTCTTTCTAGTTGCGTATTTTTCATAGTCTTATATTTCAAGAGTTTTACGACAAACTGTGACTTTTATGACATGGAAATGATTTGTTAAGATTGACAAACATCATATGTGTAATTCGTGGCACAATTCAAACGGGATCGAAAGATACGTTTTCTCTCCCCATTGACTTCAATGCATAATTTTCCGAAATAAGGTCCCATGGGTCTGAAGTAGATGGGCGTGACTTCGCCACTCTATAACACACTGTAAACTAACTGTACACAATCACAGAGTGCTAAAGTTAGCTACCTGTTAGCCAGCTCTGTTGTGATTGGTCAATTGCTTAGAGATGCCCCGCCCCTTAGCCTACAATGTGTGTGTGCGCTGGCCAATAGGAGAGCGAGTGTTTCATAAGGATGTCACTTTGTACCGGAAGTAAACAAAGTAGTCCAATGGAGGCGTTTTTAGGCGGATTTGAGCCTTAGTAGACCATTTACATGCACTAAAACCTGAAGAACACATTACAGGAGACGAACACCCCAAAAAGCAGAATAGGGCCTCGTTAAATATGAAAAAATAAATGGTAGTATGGAGTTAAAGGTAGGGTAGGTAAGTTTGAGAAACCGGCTCGAGATCGCTAGAATTAGAAAATACACAACCGGAGAAAATCTGCCACTTCCTCACAGAGCCCCTCCTCCAACACACACGAACGCGCACATGACCAATGAGGGCACGAGATAAGTTTGTGCACAGATGGAAGGCTGACAGGCAGGTAGGCCATCCAGTTATTTTAGCCGGGCCGGCTCAGATGATTGGTCGTGCTTTTTACAGTACTACAGCTTCCACAGATGATATTTATTTATGGATTTGTTGTCAAAGCACTTCAGATATTCATTGCTATCGGGATGTTAAGAGCATTCCATGGAATATAACAACAAGTGTATCTCGAGCCGGTTTCTCAAACTTACCTACCCCACCTTTAAATCGCCCCGAAAAAACACTTTGAGTGT